TGTATTCGCGTAACGAAAAGAGCTTTATTGTAATTAAATAATTGTCACAGATATTCACGTAATCAGAAATTGTATAATATTAACACGCGTTTCAGTTTCAACGTGCTCGTAGTTTCACAGGTACTGATTAAATGTATCAATTTATGAATATATAAAAATAAATTTTAAATATTTCGGATTTTGTGAAAGTAGATTATTATAATTTTTTTAGTAATGATACTTTGTATAGCCCAATTTCTCAGTTGGTATATGTAACAAACTATTTCGTTTCAGAGACGTCTCCATTTTAAGTTATTTGCAATATCCCGTTTGATTCAAGAAATAGTCCTCTCACTGAATTCTTCAACATCCTTCCTGAACAATTCCAAGCTTTTGCCTCTATTTCGAGCTAGTAGACATGTTGTGAGTTTGAGCCAAGGCAAAATCTTTGTTTATGTTAAGAAAACCAGAACGCTTGAAGACACGTAATTTTTTAAACGAGAACATTAATGTTTTATGAAATATGGATTTGATATAATTTTAGTTTTTATTTTCTATGCGTATCTAAATTATCACATATTTGTAATTCGTAGATAGTTAATGAGATGAGTGTGAAAAAATTACATTCTGTAGTCCAACAATTCGCGGAACTAACGGTAAAATAAAATTTTTAATCCGCACGTCAATGCTTTGCAACCGAAGTTTCGTGTGTGTGCATCGCAAACTGATGCACCTGAATATTTTTGCCGGAGTTTTAATTATCGTATATTAAATTACACACATATTATTAAATACAGTACACACTCGTGCAGTTATTAATATATTGGGTCAGAACCAATTATTATTCATAATAAAAAGGTAAAATATTTATAAAACGCTCGTCAGCATTTTAATAAAGATATGACACGACAGTTGAAATCAATACCCATATATTAACACTGAATACTGGTATAACTCAAACAAAATGTCTTAAAAGAAAACATACTATGTTTACAGTGCATGGTTATAATTATTAAAAATTTCTATCAAATAAGAACTTCTAGTAAAAAAAAATAATATTTAAATAATGTAATTCTAAGAGCTAATGATAATTCAAACAATATGTATGCTCATTTTGTCAACAAAAAATAAATAAGACATAAATCAAAGATTACAAAAAACCTTGTAAGTGAATGCGTCTGGTACGGGCTTATAGCGAGAAAAATATTTCACAAGTTTTTCCAGCCCATAAGCTGTCATGGTTAGAGGAAATTGAACTCTATTGATCATTGATACAGTTATTTTTTTATTGTAAAATAAATATTTAATAAATTTTCTGTTCTATCTTTTATTTACCGAAGATAGTTTTAATTAATGTAAAGGTTATTTCGTTTTAACAGTTCCCTAAACTTTGTGTTTTATAATAAGGTATATATCACAGTAAGCGTGTCACCTGAAAATTGTCTTTTGTTTTCTTCATATTTCGTTTTATAAATTCCATAAAATACATATCTCAAAGTGCTACAAAAATGTTTAAACTTAGATTGTTTATATCTAACTCATTCTAAAAATTTCTTTAACAATATTTATACATATTTTTATTATGTTAATAATCATTTTTATTTTAAAACTTTTTTGAGCCTATACATTTATTACTGTAACTTAAAATTAAGTTTTGTAATAACAAAGTCGTAATATTATACGGCTGAGGATGTATCGGTCATTATTTAGTAATAAAATAAGCACGTAAACATAACAATGACTTATTAATATGTTAAGTTCACTGGTTACGTAAAGCAGGGTCATGTTTCTAAATTAACAGCACCTTATGTCTTATAAAAAACAATATTGTATTCAAAATAAATATTTTATTTTCGTAAATTTTCATAAATAAATACACCTTAGTAATAATAAGATTTTTATTCGACATACGCGACGGTCTTGTTATTGAATTTATTTTAGGAAAAATAACGTAAACATTTATTATATTCATAGAAGTATCCTGTTTGGTTTATTATCACAGTACACCACAGAACAGATTATAAAAGTTATTATACGAAAATTTATTTATATCAAGCCAAGGTTAAATCATAATATTTATTTACAAAACAGTTATTTTCCTGGAACCGAATTAGAAGACATTTTGAAACACAAACCCATGAGAGTGTTTAAACAAAGACCAAAGATAATTTTTCCTTGACGTTTTTTTAAGTGTATATTTTTTTCTTCTTTTAATAAGGGCAGAGCCAAGATGAGAAATTGATAGCAGATGCATTTTTTTTGGTTACCAATACATATGTCAAAATAGCAAATATATATATATATATATATATATTTGCTTTAAACAGTATATAAAATGAATTGAATATTCTAACAGGTTGAAAACAAAATCAGTTCTAAATCGAAGAGAGAAGTTATATATGAGAACTTAAACTTATTATATTACTTAAGATAATAATAATAAAAAGGAATATACATGCCTTTCATTTAAAAAGGAATGCATGTCTACGAAAAATATATTTAGATTTAAAACGTCTGCATTTTTTCACCGTATAGAATCCTGATATACTCAGTGAATTCCATGAAAATTTATAAGTTCACAAAGCAAATTCCGCTCCGTCGTGTTATTTCTTTGTTAGGATTCGTTATCTCTTTCTATATCAGAACTTATATTTCTTGCAGTCATATCAATGGCACATAGATTAATTTTCTCAAACTATCATTGTTAAAAAGTTAGAGAATATGTAAAACTAAGCTACTGCGGTCTTTTAGGTAATAAAATAATTGTTCTATAAATGATTTCAACTCTGAAATATATATCTTAAAATCTACTTCTATTAAAAATCCAATGTAATTTATAGAAATATGATGTTCAATTTATGAACCTGTGTTCTGGTACTAAAACAAAAGGTTCTCTGGAACTTTTATGATAGTTTTAGAAAATACCAACAAGCAATGTAATTAATTACACACTCTCCACATTCCCTGTAGACAATAATAAAAGTACATCCAAAGGAATTTAATGTCAATACTTCTTTCTATTATATGTTTTCATTTTTATCTTTACGAAGAACTTTGTTAATTACGTATGTAGTGTATGGAATAGAAAGTTAGGTTTGCATCCATTAATACAATAGAATTGTAATATTTATAAAAAGGAAATTTCTTTTCGTTTTTTATCTTCAAAGACATTGAAAATATTCGACTCGGTTTACAATTAGCCTAAAAGCTTTTATGATGTTCATTTATATTTGTAAAATTAGACGTATATTAAAAAATAGTGAACAAATTAATTTTATATTTGTGTTATAATTTGTGAAAATAGTGTTATAGAAGTGTTGTTAAATAGAAGTCTTTGAGTTGCACGTCGCGTACTCCACACCAGTTTATGGATCATGTCGGACTAAGTAAAATTGCAAAGAAATCCTCCATCTTGGTCGTCCCCCTCTAATTGCGGCTTGAGGGTCGATTTATTTGTGAAGCGATTTGTTGTATGGCTCTAATGAGGTATTTTATTTGCCCTTTTAGGACTGTTCTATCATACAGCATTATGAATAATTGTTGAATATCTATTGAGATTAAATTTAACATATGCTTTATACTTATTTATTTAAGAAGCATACGTTATTAGGTACATTAAACTACAACAGTAATATATATTGTTATATTTAAAAGGTGCCTGCCTTATAACTGTTTTACACTTCGCATCTTGTCTCCTCTGAGTAATGCCAACAAAATAAATAGTTTTTAAAGACTATGTTAACTACCTGAATAAATGTTTAAAATAGACAGAGAAGCAAAATAAAACTAAACAGAAATGATATACAGCATTAAATTACATTTTTGTGTTTTCCCAAGACCTGTAGAAAAATATTTAAGATACATACATAAAACCATTTTTATAAATTCTAAACTCATTGTTCATTTATATTTATAAGTAAGGAGATAGATTATAAAACTATTGTGTTATATATTACTTCATAGATATTCAATTTGCTTGTAAATTGGTTAAAGATAGAGAATTTTTAAAACGAAACTATTTGAAAGAAATCGACATTCTTACAGAAGACGTGATATCATTTGAAAGTTGTGTTTAAAAGAATTTAACTTAAATGCTAAGTTCTGAATCTTAGGCATGGAATCTTCTGTATAACGAATAAACATTTTTTTAGTAAATAAAGTTTAGGAATTAAGAAAGATGGTCAAGTATTCTTACTCAATTAAGAATAAGTTAATTCAGTTTACATTTCCATAAATTTTTTAAATTTTATTCGGGATAAAAAAATATATAAAACGAAGAGTAACATAATATTTCTGAGCAGAAATATTGCAATTTTTTATATGTCATTTTAATTAGAACGCCTATGAACTAATGAACCTTCTATAATTTATTTCCCAACTAAGCTCAGATACGGTCTAAGAATAGTTTTGATTCAAATTAATTTTAATGAAAAAACAAAATCTATGTTATTTTCATATGAATGCCTCGTTGTTAAAAATCAAACAAATAAACTATTTGTTTGATGTTTTATTTGTTTACTGATAAGTTAACAATAGTTTATATTTTATCAGAAATAGGGAGAGCAGAGATCGAATAGGTGAAGCTTGAACTGCTTCTTATATAAAACGATAATACAGTTTATAATTGACCTTTTTTTGGTTTTTGTCCAAAATATATTTGGATTGGGATTAGATAAGCAGGTCAAATGGTTTGTTAGGAGCGAGGGGTTGTCAAATCGAAACCGTCTTTTGGGCGGGGCGGAACGTGCGCAAACCAATCCCAAACAACAAAAGTATCTACCTATTTTAAGAGACAACCCTAAAGATTTAATATATATGTATATTTGTGTATATATTACATAATACAATTATATAAAATATTACATAAAACATGCAGTGATAGACAAAGACGCTGCAAGCGTTCTGCAGTTCAATATTACATTCCTATTTATATACGAAAAGTAGTGATAAATAAATAAAACTTGGGAAGTAAGAATCATTAAATAAACTCCACATTAATAAGGAAACTTCTCTGTTTCCAGGTGTCATCGAGTAAAATTTTTTGGGACGAGGAAGACGATGTTTCGAACGAGTTCTTAGAAGTGGGCAGCTTCTTGGGAAGGTTTAAACGACAATTAACGGGTGAGATTAAAATTAATACTATGTTGTCATCAATTCAATGTGTGTGTATGAAAATCTTATTTAATATAAAGTTAAAAGCATCTATTGTTATACATATAATTTGATGTTTGACTTCGATCATAGTAAATGAAAGTTTAATTAGTAAAATAACCTTTGAATTAGAATAATGGTTTTCAACGAAATCTGCAAAAAAATTTAATTGGTTATTTAATTTTACAGCGACACCACCACCTGAGAACAACGAGAGTGTCACGGCCGATGACGAAGAGTCGATGTGAGTGTATTCAAGATTTAAAATAAAACTTAAAACCTACAAAAAAAAATAATGTATAAATTATATAGTCTTTTTTTAACTATAATATGAAAGAGTTTTTCTAGTTGGTAAAAACATTATTTGTGAGGATATAATTGATCGAACAAAAAAACGTTTTAGTTCCTGTCGTCAAGTAATTATAGCGTCGTTTTAATATATCATATTTATAAAAATGAGTCGATTTAATACAAAAACTACAATAACCTACAAAAATTGTTGGTTATTTAGAGACACCGGACAAACTAAAAAATATATACATTTGAGAGATTTTAACAAGTTGGAACCCTTAATGTTAGCAAGTTCTTTAACTGTGAATGTTCTAAACAAAACATATTTTTATTTTTCAGTGACAATGACAATGATTTCGACGAAGGTTCCGGACTCTCGGGTGGCCGGTTGGAGACAGAATTCAAAGAAAGTAAGGGTTTTTCTCACACAATCTGAATGCTTAAACTGAAAAATACATAAAGACTGTCAAAGAAGTCGTTACAAATTATAAACATATTGTATAAAAAATTCTCGTAATTAGAGCAAGCAACATTGTATTATCAAATAATATTCTATTATTTATATCAGTTACGATTTGATCACTTTTGAATATATGTAAATCTTCTTTAAAATTATTAACTTTACACTGCTCTTTTTCGTCGTCTACAGATGACAAATAACAAATAATGCTAATTTTTGTAAAATTGAAATCGATTTTTTTACTCCAACTAAAACGTAAAGCAATAATTCTGTTAAATAATATTTTGATAAATCTGAAAAAAGATGACCTTCTGAATATGTAAAATACTTTTGGATAGTATATCGCTTAGGTTATTGGAACGGTATTAGAATCATTGGATATTAAAATATTCGCTTTAATTATTTTTTTCCGTTTTATTATAATAATAAGAGTTTTAATTATTAATAAAGAGCATAAAAAGTGAACTTAGAAGATTAACTAACCAACCAGTTAACCAACTGTCTAGTTTGGTTTTGTGCTTAGGGTCGTATTGGTAGAAGACGTGCTAGTTTTTCTTTGCTCAAGTAATCGCTTTAAAACATAACAATATTTGCAAATTTATATTAATTATTTAAATACTAATTCGTAACAAATACTGTTATTGATTGAATTTGATAACACGTTTACTTGAAAATTGAAATTAGACTGTTTTTTTAATGATCATAACTGACTTTATAGTCTATTAAAGTGTTCATATTACAAATGAAAAGATCGATTTACATCATTATTGACTTTCACATTAAATATAAACACGGCATCCAATCAGAGTTTTTATTCCTGACTAGAAGACCTGGCGAAATTCGTATCGCCCTATAATCAAGAAATGTCTATTACGTTTTTTTATTTATATTTTTGGAGTTTACCTGTAAGCCATAAATCTCCGTGTTTTGAAGTGCGACAGAATGATTGACATATTAGTTAGTTGTCAAATCTAATGTCAAAAAAAAAATTGTATGGGAAATAGAAAAGGGCTGTTTTTATGATTTTCCCAGTAATGAATCAATTTTTTTCAGCTTTTATACCATCCCTGAACCTCCATGAACATTTCAAGACTAAGATAAGATAAATCCTTTCAGCTGTTCTCGAGTTTTAGCGAGACTAAGGAACAGCAATCCATTTTTATATATATAGAAGATTTTATTAAAAACCCATTTTGATGTTATATTACAAATTGTTAAAATTAACACTTATTTTATTTTAAAGAATTATAGTTGTTCCAAAAAATGCCGTCTTAAACAGTACATTATATTAGTAAAAAAGCTTAATAAATTGCAATGCACGAATTTTATGCTACAAACGTAATCAATTACTTATTTTATTAAAACAACTGTTTCGTTTACAAAAGTAGGAACTAAATCAAGGATTTTTCTTTAATTTTGTTTTATTGTTTATAGTATTAAAATTGAATCAGTGCAAGAAGTGTAACTCATAGCTACTTACAATTCTAACAATAGAACAGCAAGCAATAGACCTATTTTACATTGTGTGTTAAATTCATCTTTAAACAATTCGTATCCGTCGTATTATGGGTTTTCGATGTTTTTATATTGTTATGAACTTATGAAAGTGAATCTAAATGACTAAATAATAATAAATGACTAAATAAATAAATTTATTGATAGATATTAGCTAATTAAGATTGTTAAATTACGTTTATTTTGTTTCAGAAACCCTTCACGTGTCCTTCGTGGTTAATCAGCCATATCAGACGGAATACTCCAACCGAGACTCAGTGGAATTCCAGAATTTCTCACAGTCTCTAGCTGAAGCGGTTAACGCTGTCTTTCAAAATCTCCCTGGAACCCACAGAGCTAGTCTTGTGCGAATCCAGTAAGTATATTCTATATTAACCTTACTTGCCAGCCGGGTCAGTTTCAGTACTGGCCCACTCTTTCGGTGACGCTGTAAAAGAAGCAGGGCTAATAGCAATACTCTTTATACAAATATATATATCTGCCAGTAACAATATTTATGTACTTCTTAAGTGACGACCTATTTTTTATATAATAATATTATGATTTTTTTCTTGATCAGGTAATTAATTTTAACTTATGTTTTTTGTTCTCTCTTCGTATATGTTTTAGAGGTCATTTGAGAAAAAAATTGCGTGACAAAAAACCAACACATTATTAACATTATTACAAAAACAGTAATACTCCACTCGTAGATTTACTTGACATTAGAATTAATATTACTGTTATTATAATTACAGATCCCGGCCAACAGACGAGTTCACATGCAAGGTCACATTAGAAATAGTTACTATGGGTTATGAAACTGATAGAATTACCGAAATACTTCGGGACTACATCAGGAAGAAGAGGACCCTTGGAAATGTTGCCGTGGACGATGTGGGTTTCAGCTCCACCGTCATTGACCCAGGTATGACTTCATCTACTCATTCTTTACCTATATAAGCATATAGATATGTTTCTTTGTCTTCTTTAGGAATAAAGAGTACTTTTAGATTGTGTATTTTTATATAGTTTTGTAAGCATTATTTTGTAATGAAAAGGTTAGAATTGTTGGAACTCGTATGTATAAAATTAGGATATATTCAATTTATTTCTAATTCTATAAAATAGGAAATAATACTCCATTGGACACCTGCACCATTGATGAGATCAGATGCTACGATGGTCGTTGTGTGCCAGAGACGGCAAGATGCGATGGAAAAAATGATTGTTCCGATGGCTATGATGAATTAAACTGTGCTGGTACATTTTATTTTATTTTTGTTATGATTTTTTATTTATTTTTTTTATGTTCTTTCTGTTTCTTAACCAAAATGCTATTAATTAGAATTGGATAACGAAGATGATGAAGGAGAAGATCAGGACCAAGATTTAGATCAAGATCAGGACCAGGATGTGGATCAGGATCCCGATCAAGATCAAGACTTAGACCAAGACCAAGATCCAGATGTAGATCAGGAACAAAACCAAAATCAGGAACAAAACCAAAATCAGGATCAAAACCAAAATCAGGATCAAAACCAAAATCAGGATCAAAACCAGAACCAAGATAACGATCAAAGTCAGGGTGAAAACCCAGACCAATCTCAAAATGGAGACAGTGACCCATACCAAACTTCTGAACAATATATCCCTGTAGATAGCGGCAGGGAATCAGACTATAATAATAATGGTAATAATGACAATTCCATCGATAACAATGTCAACGGTGTCGATTCCGACGTAGCTACTTCGGGTATGAAACTACTACACTTTATTATATATAGAGAATTTTAAAGGTTTTATTTTTTTATTTAAATTTTTTTTCTTTATTTTTTTTTATGAAGATCCATTGGATTTTGGACCATCGGAAGATAATCGTGAAAACGCCGGAGACCCTGACGTCAATTCCTGGACCGAAAGACCAGGTTGAGATATAAAATTTTACTTAATACATTATAAATGAAAAGCGATTATGCAACGCTTTATGCGGAATTATTGCATGAGTGGCTTTTTGTGGGGATGGGTTTTATTTATAGAACATCATGGCTAATTTAATGATACAATATAATTATGTATAAGTTACATGAAATGTTTGAAATAAGATTTAGGAGTAGAGAAAACCAATTAAGTAATCTTAAATATTTTTGGAATTAAACTAGAACTTTTTTTTATAACCAGGTGCAAAAAATATATAGGAGGCCATTATAAGCTGTTAAGTGTATTTGTGTAAACGGATATATTTTTCACATTCTTATTTTGATTAGATATAAATCTAATGAAAAAAATACACCTATTTACTTAAGTTATTATTCTTAGATCACAAGTTAAGTAAAAAATTCTGTTTATATTGTAAACATTTTGTAACCCAGCCTATAAATTAACTAATGATAATAATTTAAAGAATATAAAGACGTCAGCTTTCTATTGTCGACGTATGGTTAGGTGCCACTCTTTAAAACATAATAATGTGATTAAACTCAACCTTACCTTAATCTTAATTGGACTATTCAGTGTCCAAAATAATATTTACTATCCTAACCCAACTAACACCTTATTTGGGCCGCAACTTATTTCCTAACACCGTAATACCAATTCAGAATTGATTTTAGGTTCTAACAATCCTTTTTCAAAGAAGCTTTGTTGAAACAACAGTGCTTTTGTTGAAAATCATCCGTATTATACGGATGATTTTCATATAAAATAATTTAATGTAAGAATATTTTCTCAGGATGTCAAGGCAATGATATAAGCTGTGATGAAACTCGGTGCATCTCAATTGACATGAGATGTGACGGTAGACAAGACTGCGACGATGGCACCGATGAAGCTGATTGCCGTAAGTAGTATAATTAAGTCATATTTAATATTTTTAGATTAAAATCCAAAACCATGAGGTATACATTCAAGAGTAACGGTATTATATATATAAAATAAATAACCAATTCAAAAGTAAGCAGACTCTTATTAAATTTCATATTTAGGAGTTTAAATTCGGTAGTAAAACATTTATAATAATTATTTTGGTATTTCTTCAAAAGTATATATATAATTTTCAAATGCTTTTTAAAACATATCCTCAAATTTTGAAAATTGCATCTGAAAAATATATAAGACTGAATTCCAAAGATTATTTTATTTGTAAAAAACGCGATAGAATTTCTCTTTTTGTGAATTCTTTTTGATCTAAACTATAAAAAAATACATGAATAAGCACAATTAGTAAAACAAAAATTGAATTCCCTTTTGTAAATATTTACAAGATTGGAAAAAACTTCTATACTAAGATTCAAAATTAATATATTTTAATAGAATTGAACGAGATCCAATAATAAAGGGATTCGATATGAGCGTAGACAATAATAAATCAACAAAAAAATTATGTGTTCATTAGGTTTTTAGAATTTCTAATTTATTCTTAGGGTTGGGAATTCAGTTCAAGAGAAAAGTTAACATCATATAATATTTAAAAATGTGTAACTTTCGGGAAATCGGCCTTATTTATATTGTTATTCGTTTATTTAAATTTTTAAATGTGTTCACATTAAAAAAGTCGTTGTTTTTGCGACGTCCCGCTGCGATCAAATAGTTATGTCATTCCTTAAAAGCGACGGTTCATTTCAATGAAATTACTCTAAATTGTATAAAGGTATCTTATTTATATTTATGAAATAAATTAGCTGTGCTTAAAAAAATATATTGTTCATTCATCTTAACTTGGTTCAAGAGCCTCTAAATACATATCTTGTAAATGTGAGAACAATTTCCTTTATTTTCATAACTTGCTTTCCAAGTGGTTAAAGAAGACCAATTCTAATATTATAATATTATTTAAATCTCTTAAATGTGAAATATGTTCAATCTGTTTTATATTTACTTTAATATGATGGACAGGGATAACATTCCTATAGATCGGAACGTCGAGTGTCTTATATGGAGTAACTCAAGTGGTCTAATTACAATAAATTAATTATAAAAGCAATCGGCTATTGAGAATTGTAATCCACAGCAGATCTCCATAAGTTTCACTTTTAATGTTGTTATTATATTTTATTTCTATCAATTAGCTGGTATCGACTGAACATTTTTTACCTCAATTTTTTTATATCACTCGTATTTAAATGAATGAGATAATATTAATATTTGTTAGGTGACTATTGATACTTCAACATGAACCCCTCGGCGGCATAAAGTCGATGTTAAACCGTTTACATTCATTATAACTGTAACAGCTTTGTGTTTATGGTGATGAGACTCGCAATCCGGACGAAATGTTGTAATTTGGGACTTCGGCCAGCGTAGACACGATCTATCAGTGAATAAATTAAGTTTTCTTTATTATACTAAATAAATTAAATTTAAACCTTCTCTTTAAGTTATTAAAATTTAATTAATATATTCCAAAGATAATGTTACTATCAAATTTGTTGAGTTATAATGTTTTAAACAAAAGTAATATAATGTTTTATCCTGTTTATTGATTATCGTTTTTTAATACTTATATGAAAATTTTAATTCTTAATTGTTCTATAAGGCTATCTCTAGATTGTGGCAGCCCTACAGTCATTATATAATATTTTGTATTGCTGAGAATGATCAAGCAAGTAAATTGTGATTTGCGAACGAAACGAATTGTTATGGTTATGATTGTATTTTTTAAAATATTTTGCTAGTCTTTTTATCAAATAATTAATTTTAAAAAATATCGGATATATTAATTATTCTTTTTTCATCCTCTTTATGAAGTATGAAGAAGAAATGACCTCTTTTTAAAACGCATAAATATTAAGTTCTGTCTTAAAAAAAATACAATATAATAAACATAATCTATATGAAAACTTTAAACTCGTAAAATTATTTTATCTCTAAATTAATAACTACATATCACCTATATTTGAAGTAATAAATGTACCAAGAATTCATCACAATAACAAACCACTATAAAACAAATTAAAATAAATTATTATTGAAGATACATCTCAATGATATGGAGTCGTTTACTGTGTACATCAATTAGCAAGAGTGATTCTAGCGCGGTTCAGTACATAGTGATCATTTGGTTCATTTAAAGATCACTTACTTTCATTCTTCTGAATAAATACGAGGAACTAATTGCTCGGTGACTGTTTTAAAATGTTGCATATAAACCAATTAATCTTCAGCCTAGTTACCTACTGTCGAGTGGTCACTTTATTACGTAAAATAAATATTTGTAATCGTATAAAAAATATATAGTGCTGAATTTTTTTAAAAGATGTTTGTACTCGTATTTGATTGACTAATATCACGAAGATACATATTCAGCACACATTTTACAAGTATGGCATCGCCTTTTATTTTCTAGACAGCAATAGTTTTTAATTCGTTGTGTAGGTGTTTAACGATTTTCGTTAAAACTATATATTCCGGCACCAAAAACGTTTACGCCGAAGTTCAAAATTCCTTACTGATATAATATTAATACTTTTCCTTGTTCTACAATCTATAAGTCTATATCACTTTACTGATTTCCAGTTAATATAGCGCTAAGAGCTAAGACGTTAGCTAAGAGCGATGGCTGAAGATGTTCGGAGTAAATATTATGAGCTTGTATCGACAAACTAGTAGTCAATTTATAAATATTTGTATATAAATCTATCGTTAAAGAGTCATGAATGAAAACCCTTGAATCTATCGGCCCCTTAGATTGTAATACGTGTAAATTACTTTATTTGTAACTCATCTGTTTGCATAGAACGTTATTTTTTTGGGAATTGTTATAAGGATAATATGCACCTGTTTCAGAATAATACTACTTATATTGCAGATTTTTGAGCTTGAGACTTTCTGACACTTTTCAAAACGTTACTAGCTGTAAGGATATTAAGAACAATTTTATAATGTAGACAAGTTAATTTTCCCTTTTTGACTATCGTTCCTTAAGAAAACTGGATATCGGCGAATTTCAACTTAAATAAATCCAAGTGCATCCTTTTGATAAATTCTCTCAAGGATAAGAAAGAAAAGGACATTAAAAGATTATTATTATTAGTATATAAAATAAGTAATACTTAATCGATTTTATAATAATATGTGTACAGCAGTAACAATGCTTTTTGTCAGAAAAAGTATAGAGACAAATGATATGATTAAAATGGTTAATAGGATTTTTGTTTACGAAATTTCACCTTAAGGATTTTTACTCTATAAATGGTATTACACGTAAAGGATTGCTAATTTTCATAAATTGCTAATTTTTTTCTTACTGAACAATTGATATTTGAACAATTTCAAAACAGGAAAACAAAATGAAGTAAACAATTAACCACTTCATTTTCGTAAAGACCTAATGTAAACGTATATAATTTAAACTATTATTACTTAATATATTCTTATCTGACGAAAATTTTAACATTTTTATAACGTGGAGATATCAAAGGTGACAAAATGACCGTACGAACGCCACATTGAGAGCAAGCATAATGTTTACATTGTCATGTAGATAAGTAAGTTATCTAGTACACAGATTAATCGTCACGTCCAGATCATTAGTACATAGCAATGTTTTGTTCTACATTGTTTTTTGTTTTAATTATTGCAAAAGGATTTTTATGACAGCACTCCCTTGACAACATAAGCATTACTTTTAACGAGAACAGAACAACATTTACATTTTATTCTTACGATGTAATGTTAGCACTATTCTGTCGAATGTTGAAAGAAAAGAATTTTTTTTTCTTAACCAGTTAGATTTTCAGGCAAACTGTAAACTATTACTTTCCACGTGGTACTTAGGTTGTACTTATAAAAAAAAATTAAATGATGCGTGTATGTCCAGTAGTAAAGACAATTTTTTTTTACTATAGAAAAATACTGTTTTTTAACATTCCTTTCGTAATTCGAATCATCCAGGACTTTTGAAATGTTTGAAAATAATAATAAGAAAGACAAAATGTTTCTTTGTTCATTATTAAATTACAGTATGAAAAATTATTTCAATTAATAATCTCATGCAACATCACACAATTGTAAAGTACCTGTGTGAAATTACAACATAGATATCGAATTCCTATCAAGTATAAATATAATTATTATATGACTAGAACAAGAAGCATAATTAAAGGAAGTGCTTAGCGGTCAAAGCGGCTCTTTTCTAGATATCTGTAACCAGCTGATGTAAAACACACATGAATATTCAAGTTGATTCCATATTACATCATAGACACCATACTTAGTCACATGAATTTCAAATTAAATATGACTGATTGTGTTGTAAATGAAATGCTTGATTTGTCTTTACAATTTACTGAATTGTTTTTGCTTGCACATGTTTAATTCGATATTTAATTGAGTAATTATACGAAGTTAGGATAATTTAATGAGGTTTTTTGTAAACATGTATGTATATAAACAAATACATATACGGCAAATGATATGCGAGTAAAAGTCCACTTTACTTTTGATAAGGAGAGTATAATATTCAGGATAGGGGAAAGAGGTCGAGAATCTTATGTGGAAGTTGAGACTTTATTCCACATAAAGTGTAGACTGAATCTATTAGATTTTTAGCTGTTAGCTAATATTTTATGTCATAAGAAATATATATATATAATGAAGGTATCATTGAGTTGTAGATATTTTGTATTAAATTCAATGCAACTTTATAAGTGTTGTATCCCAAGATATTAGGAAAACATAAATAAATCAGATCTGGTTACACGTGTAATTATATATTGATAGAGTTTGTACCACTATTTACCACTCGTAGGAATGATACAAAATGGTATAGTTGATTGAATATTGTAATAGATATGTACGCGAAGCTATATAGGTTCTCGAGTAGAAAATAAAATGATAAAATTATCAGTTCTCTTCATAAAATTTAAGAAATAAATACGTCGAGTGCAGTCTTTATTTTTACTGATGTTTTCTATGTAATTAAGAGAATTTTGCGCGTGCTTTGAGCTACGGACACAATTTTTCTATAAGGTAAAATATGATAGTTTTATTATGACTTTAATAAAGTACGACCATTACTGAATAGTGCTGTCCTTGCACCTTTCTAAAAATGTTATCGATAAATTAATTACAGTTTTATGTCGAATTTGTAATAATATACAGATGTTTAAGTCGCAAAGATTTCTTACTTGTAGGATATAAATATTACATAATATACATGAAACGGTTTAAAACGATTCATTTTGTCTAATAATGTGTGTAATTTACTCACTTAAAGATTTTTATTCTATCGACGCATAAAATTTGCGTTGGTATCCCTAGTAGTTGCGTGATTTGGTAAATCGATAGTCTATAGTCATTACAATATCATGTCTTCATTGTATTATAAATAATATGTTTAAAGTTATTACATGTCAAGTATACAATACATTTTGTATGAATATATTTTAATAAGATATATTAATACGATGATATCTATACTAATATTATAAAGCTGAAGAGTTTGTTTGTTTGTTTGTTTGTTTGAAAGCGCTAATCTCCGAAACTACTGGTTCGAATTGAATAATTCTTTTAGTGTTGGATAGTCCAGTTATCGAGGAAGGCTGTAGGCTATATAACATCACGCTACGACCAATAGGAGCAAAGATATAGTGGTAAATGTGTAAAAAACGGGAGAAATTATTTCATCTTTGAAGCCTTCCGTTGCTTGCGCCGTCAAAACGGTTCAAGATACACAAAAAATATGTGCTAAAGAATAATAGCTCTTTTAATGATCTAAAAAACAGTCCAGGACGGTATATGTCTATCTTTTAAGATTAACTCATAAAATCGTTTTTATGGTACCTAATTTGGTCGAAATAATTTGTTTAAGTTGTATCAACATAATAATATTAATCTTTATTCAAATAAACAAACAAATATGTTGTTGGTTAAGAGTACTTCATTGTGAATAAAAGAAAACATAGGTTTTATCCTGAAAATTCTACGGGAACTCGACCATTCCGAAAACCCCGCAAGAACGGGAATTATGTGGGAAGAACCAAAAATCTGCCGGAAGTCACTATTCCACGCGGACGTAGTCGCGGCAAAAGCTAGTCTAATATATAAAGATACTAGCTTTCCGCCCGCAGCTTCGCCCGCGTGTGTTCGGTTACAAAAATACAAGAATAAGAATTAAAAATACAAGAATTACATCGTCGGCTTGAGTAAAACCATTCAGTATAACAGTAAGAAATAAGCTCGTTTTAAACTTTTATGTATGTGAAGTATTAAAAAGGGTTAAATTTAGTTTAGCAGTTACAATTATTTTTTTGGGATGAAATGTCCACGGAATGAATATGTGATTTCCGTTCGTCTACCTTCGATCCCGTCATTGATATCGATTTGACGCTAATAGGAACAGATTGAAATTATAAGAAGGTTAACTTGTGAATTATCGGAGCATAATTATTGAAATAAAATACTTATTAGGACAAATAAACGTTTAAAATGTAGAAAAGTTGCTAATTACTACATACCAGAACTGTATAATTCATAAATATTCAATCATACATATCGAATAGATAAAAAATCTGATTATTTTTATACGTCCTTAACCTTAATTAATATGTAATATCTTAATTATTATGAAATAGTCAACAAAATGACTTATTAGGTAATCTTTGAAAAATTCCAGAGTATAGAGTATGTTTAAAAATAAAATTAGTTAAAACATCGACTGGAGTGAAGATGTAGAAATAAATGGCATTCTAACAAGAATCATTCTATATGAGATTGCTAAAATTTAATGTGCTTTTCAATAGTTCATCGAAGCATTAAAACTTTATAAGGGACTTATATTAAAAAGCAAATTTTAAGATAAAAATATAATAAGTTTAAGATTTGTAAAATCGTCATTAATATCGTTATTCAATTCATAATAAGAAAAAAATTAAGTTTGTTAAGAAAAGATATCTTTAATTGTATTTTAAAAGATATTTTTAATATCATGACTGTTAAGAAGTTAATAATTTCTTTAACTGGTCTCAAAGACTCCAAGTTCATTAAAGATGCACAGCATAAAGATAGAACGTCTAGCCCAAATCTGCTAAGTTAGTCCAATGAGGTTATACTCTCGTTTTTATGTTTGGTGAGTTTTGAAACGTAACTGAGAATAATAAGATCATGACTAAGTTTCTAGAAGCGGAAAAATTGCCAACTTTTGCAAAAGGATTGAATGATAGAAGAACTCAAAGCTGTCATTGGTATTTTATCAATGATTTCAGGTCAAATAACCAATATAAAAATGATACTTGAAGACAAAGAATATTTATAAAATATCTTATATACATCTTCGAATACTTCGGACGTGCATTATGTGGCAAATCTTTAGATTTTGTTTAACACTGTGAATAAAATAGCTACTAAAACTCTCACTAGAAATGGAATAAAATAAATAGTTTTATATTTTAAATGAAGCATTTTTCTAGCTTTATTTATTATACCACGTTTTATCAATCGTGTTACTTAGCTGGATCAAATAAGTTTCTTTATGAAATTGAATATAGGATCGCGTGCTTGTATTCATTTCCCTCCGTCCGCTACCGATGTCTCTCTCAACCATAATGGCTAATATTAAATTGCC